ATCGTAATTGGGTCTTTGATGTCTTCCCGAGCTTCAGTGGGGAAGATGTCCGTAAAGGATTCCTCAGCCACTTTCTCGAAGAGCTAGACCGGAAACTGATCGTTGCTTTTAAAGACAACGAGATTGAGAGAAGCCAATCGCTATATCCCGAGCTTAAAAAAGCAATCAGCACTTCGAGGATCGCGGTGGTCGTGTTCTCCAAGAATTATGCCTCTTCAGGCTGGTGTCTTAACGAGTTGTTAGAGATTATGAAATGCAAGGAAGAGTTTGGTCAAATGGTGATACCGGTTTTCTACGGTTTGGATCCTTCTCATGTAAGGAAACAAACCGGTGAGTTTGGGAAGATCTTTGAAGAGACATGCAAGAACAAAACAGAGGAAGAGACACAACTATGGAGACAAGCGTTGACTAATGTAGCAACTATCCTCGGATATCATTCTAAGAACTGGTACAAGATTTAACCAATCCTACCATGTGAAAATATATCTTGACGTTTTACTATTCACATAGTTCGTGTTTATAAATTGATATTTCATATTTTTAGGCATAGCGAAGCAAAAACGATTAAAGAAATTGCTAGTGATGTGTTGGCTAAACTGAATTTCACTCCATCAAAGGATTTTGAAGATTTTGTTGGAATGGAAGATCGTATCGCAGAGATGAGTGTGTTATTGCATATGGAGTCTGACGAAGTGAGGATGATTGGTATATGGGGTTCCTCAGGCATTGGTAAGACTACCATTGCGAGAGCTCTGTTTAACCGACTTTCTCGACACTTCCAAGGTAGTGTCTTCGTAGACAGAGCTTTCGTATCTAAGAGTATGGAACTTTATAATAGTGCAAACCCGGACGACTATAACATGAAGTTGCATTTGCAAAATAGTTTCTTGTGCAGAATTTTAGGCAAAAAAGACATAAAAATAGATCGTTTAGGTGCAGTGGAAGAGAGGCTAAAGCAAAAAAAAGTTATCATCTTTATTGATGATTTGGATAATCAAATGGTGCTAGATACTTTGGTGGGTCAAACTCAATGGTTTGGATGTGGAAGCAGGGTCATTGTTATTACAAAAGACGAGCAGTTTTTAAAGGCCCATGGGATCGATCATGTTTACGAGGTTCGTCTCCCGTCTAAAGAGCTCGCTCTTGAGATTCTTTGTCGTTCGGCTTTCAGGAAAAATTGTCCACCTGATGGTTTGATGGAGTTTGCTTCTGAGGTTGCATTGCTTGCCGGTAATCTTCCTTTGGGTCTTAACGTTTTGGGTTCATATTTACGCGGAAGGGACAAAGAAGACTGGATGGATATGTTGCCTAGCCTTCGCAGTATGTTGAATGGAAAAATTGAGAAAACACTAAGAGTCAGCTACGACGGGTTATATAGCAAAAAAGATGAAGCGATATTTCGTCACATTGCATGTCTTTTCAATGGTGAGAATGTCAATGACATCAAGCTGCTACTAGCAGATAGTGACTTGGATGTTAATATCGGGTTGAAAAACCTTGTTGATAAGTCCCTCATTCATGTAAGAGAGGATATTGTTGAGATGCATTGTTTGCTACAAGAAATGGGTAAGGGGATCGCCCGTGCACAGTCCAATGAGTCTGGAGAACGCGAATTCCTTGTGGATTCGAAGGATATTTACGATTTACTCGAAGATAACACTGTAAGTTTTTTTGTGCTCCTTTCATATATTTCGTCCTATAAGATTAGAATAAATGCATGTCATGTGTAAAATTATCTTTGAAATTTTAATCTCAGGGTACTAAAAAGCTTATAGGTATATCATTGGATATAGATGAGATTGATGAGTTGCGGATACATAAGGAAGCCTTTAAAGGGATGCGCAATCTCCGTTTTTTAAATTTTTACACTAATAAATGGGACCGGAAGAAAGAAGTTAGATGGCACTTACCGGAAGGATTCGACTATTTGCCTCCTAAACTAAGGTTGCTTAGATTGGACGGATACCAAATGAGATGTATGCCTTCTAGCTTTCGTCCTGAAAATCTTGTTAAGCTCCAAATGCAAGGGAGCAAACTCGATAAGCTATGGGAAGGAGTTCAAGTAAGATTTTAGTAAAATTATAATTCATATCAACATGGTCGTATTTTAGTATGTGCAAGTAATCAGTCGAACAATATTGTATATATAAATTAGGGCCTATATATATATACATTTAGTAAAAAAAATAATATAGGCATAGCTTACCAATAATTTGAGTCGGCCCTTGCTTAATTGAGATAAAATGCTTATATCAATTTGTAGATGACAATCATTTCAAGTGAAGTGTAACTTACCTATGCTTTATAGTCACTTGCAGGGCTCAGGAATATGGATTTGTTTGGATCTGAAAATCTAAAAGAAATCCCAGATCTTTCTAAGGCCACAAACCTCAAGAAACTTGTTCTAAGCTATTGCTCGAGTTTAGTGGAGCTTCCTTCCTCTATTCAGTATCTGAATAAATTGGAGCAATTGCACATGCTATTCTGTGAAAATCTTGAGACACTTCCCACTGGAATCAACCTTCAATGCCTCGATCAGCTCAATCTCAGGGGATGCTCGTGGTTGAAGAGTTTTCCTGCTATCTCAACCAACATCTCAGAGCTCGATGTAAGAAAAACGGCGATTGAAGACTTTCCCTCTAAGTTACGACTAGAGAATCTCATTGGTCTTGACATGAATGGATTGAAGACTAGGAAAACGTGGAAAGCAGTGGAGGTATGAACTTAACCATTTCTTCTCCCACCTGAATTAAATAATTAACAATAATATTAACAACAATTTTGATGTTCATAAATTGAAAACTAGAATGATAATTTTTTTACATGTGAAACCCACAAATTTATATTTCAAATAGACAACTAAATTTTTTTAAAAATTCATGGTTTCTACATTAAAACTCAGACATTTATTTTCCAAAATTAGAAACTTGGAAACTAGCCAATTTAAACACAGGACACTGTTTTTATCATATATATTTTTTTTATTAGCAAACGTCTATTTTTCTGATATAATTTTAAGATAGTTTCATACTTTCACTAGGCCAATACCCGCGCATACGCGCTGGTTTTGTTTGATATATAATTTTTGGTCACATGGATTGAAGGATGACAATTTTTCGGATGGATAAGGGTTTCCAACCCATGAAGATAGATGTTATATACTGATCAAACCTATCGAATGAATAACCATACTTGGGACAATGGTGTTGGGGTGATTTTTTTGTTTGGCAATTTTAGTAAAGACAAAATGGTGGAAGTTTTGTATTCATTTTGTTGACATTTAGACAAATAGAGAAACGTAAAGACATGCAAACACGTAAACTGAAAAAACATGAATTGTTGTCTATACTCGATGAGAAAGATGTTTTCACCCTCGTTACAACTTCACGTAATCTTGCAATGTAGACAACGACTTCCATGTTTGGTAAGATTCCCTGTAAGAACTTTTATATAAGGAACTTAGAAGAAGCTCGTCTTGTGGATAAGCTATCATGAAAAATCTCTGGTAAAATCCACTTGTAACACGTTATAGCATCTCATATATCTTTGATTATCCTCTGTTTTGAAAACTACAATCATCTTTTCTATCTGTATTGTGAACATAATCAGACATGTGTGAACATCTATATGGATGTTTTGTCCAATTTGAGTAGGTAATAATTTTAAATAAACTCAAAATAAGATGGGAGGAGTGTCAAAGGAATGAAGGTGGATGGTAAGAGTTCTTCCGTCATCTTCCCACCATTTCCCTATTCCCACAAACACAACACATCCCATTATATATTTGTAGAAATTTCAATTTCTAGACAGGAACATTAGATCGAGAAGAGTTAAATATAAAATTACAATGGAACCACCAAGAAACGCAATCCAAGAACGAATCAAATGGTTATTTCAGTTGGTAAAGATAATCGGAAACGTGTAAAAGGAATAAACATATATTTAAAATTATGTTTAAACAGCGAGACTAAGCTGGTAATAAAAGTTGCATATAGTAGAAAACTTACACTTGTGTTTTCTTTTGTAATAGCTAATTTTAGAGTTTAGATATTGACAAAACTCAATAGTCAGAGAGAGTAAGAGCTCACACGCTGAATTTTTGTTGTTGTTGGAGATGTCTTGCCTTATCTCCCTAAGCGTGAATCACATTGGGGTGGTGTATATACAATTCTTCCAACCTGCAAAATATCATGTAAGAGAATAAGATGAGCATTTAAAAAAGATACCACAAACACTGAGAAAAAGTCATAAAAAATCTATGTCGGTAACAAATTAGACTTTTCACTTGGATTCACAAAGCGTCTAGTGACCTTAACCACTATTAAGATTTGGGAAAGTTTCTAAAACTGTATTTAGAACGCTAAACTAATTCAGTCATTCTCAAAAACTTCAAAGTAAACTAAATATTTTTTTTTATATACAAAAGTTGTTTCCAATTGTAAGACTATT